CCAGAGTCACTAAGAGACACAGATGTAACAAAGTTGGATGGCTTTAATTCCCACTTATCTTTCAGTGTAAACACCTTAGTGTACCAGTTCTGGTCTAGTATATAAACATGTATTTTTCATATGGCATGATCCTCAAGTCAAGCTGACTACATCAGGTGTACAACCAAAATAATGATCTGTATAATAACATGTTACTCAAAATAAGGAGGCAAGAGAGTGTGTGGTAAGATTTTCACTTTCCTGACTTTGGGACCCTGTAGTCAAGTTGATTTGCAGCAGTTGACAGAAGCCATGCTTATCAAAGTTGTGTGTAACCCAAGTTGAGGCATACAGCTAAAACATCCCTTAAAGATGAAGATTCCAAAGACCACAGTGGACTGCAAAGGTGGGCTAAAGTGAACAGGAAAACATCCCATTACAGTCAGAGTTCAGTACCTGGGTTAAAAATGATCAACAGTGCAAGTTAGACAATGGGAAGATTAAATGACTGCAGTTTATATACACAGGACTCATTTTTTAATTGATTGTTCACACAAATCAATAATGTGCAGGAGAAAGCATGGAAACAAAGGTGGACAGTGATAACTCCACTGCGAGATCCTGTCTTCAGTGCTGTCTTCAGGGTGTCTCCATGACAGGACGACAAGGATTCTGAGGGGTTGCAGACTCCTGCTATACACATCACAGCTCAGAGATTGAGCGGTTCTTTTTACCTGAGAGAAGAGACTCACAGAGCACCATAAATACCTTGAAATATTGGAAGGGATCTCACACAGAGGAGAGATTAAACTTATTCAGGGTTACTCCAGAGGGTTAAACAAGAGCCAATGTATAGAAGTTGTTAGTGGGAGGTGGACTCAGCCCAGAATGAAACTGCTTTAATGATTAGAGCTGTCCAAATATGGAACAGACTGCCTTTTAACATCTCCATTGTCTTATGGGAGGGTTGCAGAGCGTTGGGAAGTTGGCATGTCATTTTTTTCTACTGGGCCTTTTCTGTCTACCTAGCCTTTTTTTTTTTTCCTTCTTAATATTTATTTATTTGGCTGTGCTGGGTCTTAGTTGCAGCAGATCCCTGGGTCGGGAAGATCCCCTGGAGAAGGAAATGGCAACCCACTCCAGTATTCATTCCTAGAGAATCCCATGGACAGAGGAGCCAGGGGCTACCATCTACAGGGTCCCAAAGAGTCGGACATGACTGAAGAGACTTAGAATGTACACATGTGGGATCTTTAGATGTGGCATGTGGGATCTAGTTCCTCAACCAGGAATCGAACCTGGGCCCCCTGCATTGGGAGCTTCCAGTCTTAGTCCCTGGACCACCAGGGAAGTCTCTACCTAGCTTTTTAAACCAGCCTGCCTACTACCAGCTTCCCAGGTGGCACAGTGGTAAAGAATCTACCTGCCAATGCAGGAGACACAGGAGATGCCGGTTCTATCCCTGGATTGGGAACATCCCCTGGAGTAGGAAATGGCAAACCATTCCAATATTCTTGCCTGGAAAATTCCATGGACAGAGGAACTTGACGGACTACAGTCCACGGGCTCTCAAGGAGTCAGACACATCTGAGCACGTATGCCTACTACCAGCTAATATCCTCCTTTATTCATTCCTTTGAGGGTCTTTGATCAAATCATGCATCTTTCTGAATCACAGTTTCTCTATTTCCTCTCCCTGCCCCCAACTGATTGAATATACCTACAGCCCTTGATTAAATAAATAAATATATATATAATAATAAAAATATATATTAATAAATATATATATTTACTATATATATATAGTACAGCTGACTCTTGAACAACACAGGGTTTGGAGTGTCCACCCTTTATGAGGTTGAAAAATCTGACTTGGCCCCCATACACAGTTCCTCCACATCCGTAGTTCCAAATCCAAGGATTCAACCAACCACAGATAATGTAGTACTCCAGTATTCACTATAGGAAAAAAAGCTGAATATATGTGGACCCACACACTTCAAACCTGTGTTGTTCAAGGGTCAACTGTTTCTAAAACCCATTCTTACTTTGCTTAACCTTATTAACAAGAAGTATGTGTATAAAATCCATTGAACATAAGTTGATTTCTACTTAAAGAGTAACTGGATCTTTCTGCCTTTGGAAGGCTATGTTTTGCTAAATTTTGGCAACCTCTAAACAACATATTTTAGAGACACCAATGGGTTGAGGAACCAAGGGCATAATTGGTATGTGACATAGAAAGGGCCAAGCCCAGGTTTAAAAGCACACTGTTTCAGTTTAAGGGAATACAGACGGTTCCTGACTCATGATGATTTGAATTACAATTTTTTGACTTTATGATGATGTGAAAGCAACACATATTCAGCAAAAGCTGAATTTTGATCTTTTCCCAGGCCATCAATACACACCATCACCCTCTCTTAAGATGCTGGGCAGCAGGAGCCAACTGCAGCTCCCAATTAGCCACGCAGATCATGAAGAGTAAACACTGATACACTTAAAGCCATTCTGTTTTTCACTTTAAATAAATCACATGAGATATTCAACACTTTATTATAAAATAGATTTTGTGTTAGGTGATTTTGCCCAACTGTAGGCTAATGTGTATTGAGCACGTTGAAGGTAGACTAGGCTAAGTTATGAAGCCCAGGAGTATATTATGTGTATTACATGCATTTTTGACTTATGACATTTTCAGCTTATGATGGGTTTATCAGGACATAATCCCATGGTAAGCTGAGGAATAGCTGTATTCCAACTTCTGGGAAAATAGAAGACTTGTAAAGAACAGTCTGGTAACACTACCAATGTGAACTTACACATATGCTCATCTCTGAGAAACCTATAATGCTGCTTTGCTTTGTTTCCATTTGCTTTAAACCTAAACTTCACAGTCATTCACATGAGGCAACAGGACTTCCCTGGTGGTTCAGATGGTAAAGAATCTGCCTGACATGTGGAAGACTCAGGTTCTATCCATGGGTCAGGAAGATTCTGGAGAAGGGCATGACAACCCACTCCAGTATTCTTGCCTGGAGAATTCCATGGACAGAGAATCCTGGTGGGTTACAGTCCATGGAGTCACAAAGAGTCAGACACAACTGAGCGACTAACAACCTGTTTATTTCACTAATTGGAAATCAATAAACTTGAGTTCAGCAAAAACTTGCTGGGGCCCTTCCATGGCCCAGCCCTTTGCAAGTCATTGATAGATTAGGGATGGTGGGAACTCTATCATTCACTCAAACAGTAGGCATTCTATAAATGATATATACCAGGGGTCTTCTTCATCCTAATGATGGACAAGCTAGACAAGCTCCTGTCCTCATGGAGCTTACATCCTAGTAGGAGGAAACAGGCAGTAAACAGCTGAGCAGAAAACACATCAGTGGTAAGTGCTGTGAAGAAAATAAAACAATGTGATAGCCAGTGTGACCAGGGAGGATAGCCCTAGCCCTTGACGTAGTCAGTCAAGATATCTTTGAGGAGGTAACATGTAAGCTGAGATCTGAAAGATAACATGGAACAAGGAGCTCGAAGATCTGGGGAACAGCATTCAGTACAAAAGCCCTGATCAGGAGCCTCTCAAGAAGCAGAAGTGCTGACAACTCCAAGCAGAGACTGAGCTGCGGATCCAAAGTCAAATGCTCGAGATAATTTCCAGACTGAGAAGGTTAACAATCCTCTTGCCTTTTTACCCTCACTGGGGTGAGGCAGAATGGGTAAGAAGTACAGCAGACCTCGTCTGAGTAGGAAAAGAACCCCCAGCCCTCCATTACCACACCCCCACCATGCAATCACCTGTTCCTCCTGGAGGAGGCTCCATTCCTGTGACCTAACCAGTTTCTACATTGTTTCTCTTAGCGCACTGCCATGCAGTAGAATTTTTGTTTGTTTGTTTGGTGTAGGGTTTTGTTGGTTCTTTTCCAAGTATCAATCAAAACTGCATACCAGCCTCCACACCTTGGAAATAATTAAATGACCTGCCTGATTTTTTTCAACCTGGTAATGCACTGTGATTTGCATGTTAAAGGACTTTATCTTAGCTGAGGTGATTTTTGTTCTGCTTTGGCTGGTGTGGATGGTACATCATAGCCAAACACAAAAGCACACTACATGCTTCATCCTGCCACACAGTCCCTTAAGAAAATTGCTCTGTGATGCGAATATGTTCACCTTTTGCTCCTGAACTCAATGCGAAGGTCTTTCCCCCTGTTAAACAGTCTATTTATTTGCCTGCACCTGGTCTTAGTTGCAGCCTTCTGGATCTTTAATTGCAGCGTGGGGGAATCTAGTTCCCTGACCAGGGATGGAACCTGGGCCGCCTACATTGGGAGCATGGAGTCTGTCTTAGCCACTGGACCATCAAGGAAGCCCCAATAGTCTAATTTTTTTATATTAGCAAAATTCTCTTTATCTTGATGCTACATAGTTTTAAAAAATGTTTTACTTTTTAACCTAGAGTAGTTAATTTACAATGTTTTGTTAGTTCCAGGTGTACAGTTAAGTAATTCAGTTTTATAGCTATATTGTCAGATTCTTTTCTCATATAGGTTATTACAGACTATTGCGTTCCCCGTGCTATACAGTAGGTCTTTGTTGACGCAGGTTTTATGCAGACCTCTAGAGCAAATATCTGAGGTTTAAGAGCAGATTTTGGATTAAAGTCCCTTTTTTCTGCTACCAAGGAAAGTGGGAGTCTAGAAAATAGCCTGATCTTAATGTCCAAGCGACGCACCTTCTAGCACAACTCTCGCTTATTTAACAGTTACAGTAATCTGTGACTTCTGCGTATCAAAGGCTGTGTGGGATATTAAAGATAAAATAAAACCTCCTTCTTCCTCTCCCCAGAGTGGGATTCCCTCTGAGCACAGAAGGCGCTGGGGTAGGGCTGGTTATTTGCATGCGGTGGAGCTCTCGGCAGGGGGTGTGGGATGCGGTGTTCCCGAAGCGACAGATGAAGGATTTTGGCCTCGTGGGATGTGAACTGCGGAATTCCTCTCCTCGGTTCGTGAGAGGGACTCTGAAGGATATAAGATTAGGGACGAAGAGCGCGACCCTGGGGGCGGAGGGCGAGGGAGCGAGCCAAGGACACCAACCCTAGCACGCTTCCGGAAGCTCTCCGCCGACCGAGTTCGTAGGTTCTTCGGCCTCGCCTTCCCGGTCACCCCCAACGCGAGGCCGACTCTGAAGGGCAGGCAGTTCCCTAGGGGCAGCGAGTGCAAGAAACGCACCGTGAGCCCTCCACCCTCCTGGGTTCTACGTCTGCAGGTGGTTGAGCGGGGTAGGAATCGCGATCCTCATGGGTCTAAAGGAGGCCGCGAGCTCGCGCTCCTCCGAAGAGACGGCCGCAGAGTGCAGTGCGCGGGCGCAGCGCGCTCAGGCCTCGATCCGGGTTCCTGGGGGCGGTGCGCGGGAGGGGGCGGGGCTTGCGCGGCCGCGTGGGCGCCAGTCGCGCGGGAGGGAGGGCGCCGGAGGGAGGGGGCGGGGCCGCGCCGCCCGCGCCGCGCTGGGCCCTCTTGGCCAATGAGCGGCGTCCACATGCCGCGGCGGCGGCGAGAGGGGAGGCAGCCGCGGATAAATGCTATTAGAGCAGCCGCCGCGGAGCCGTCCCCGACGCCACCTCCTTCTCCTCCGCCGCAGTTTCCTCAGCTACTGTCGGGGGTGCAGCGCTGAGGGGACTAGGCGAGCGCTCTGCGCACCATCTTGCCGGCTCGCATCCCTCGCTCGGTTCCGCTCTCAAGAGTCGGCAGAGCACCCCCTCCTCCGGCCCGGGCGGGGCTGAGAATCACCACAGGAGAACGGGGAGGGGGCTTCTTGACCGCGGCCTGCACTCCCTGCCAGCGGTTGAGGGTGAAGGAGGCCCTCCCTTCTGACGAGGGGAGGGAGGGTCAGGAACACCCCCCCCCCCCGCCCACCGTCCAGCTGTGCCCGGGGCGGGCACCGGCGAGGGCCGGACTGCGAGAGGGGTGGTTGTCTGGGGGAGGGGGCGCGGGGTGATTCAGCGCCCGACAAGGCGGAAGCGGCCGGAGGAGTAGAAGGAGGGGGAAAGACCAGTCCGCGCCTGGGCGCCCGGGGTGGCACGAGCCCGCGGCCCGAGTGCGAGGCGGAGGCGAAGAGGCCGCGGGGACTGGAGGCGAGGCCGGCCGGGCCCCCGCAGCCATGGAGAACGCACACACAAAGACGGTGGAGGAAGTGCTGGGCCACTTCGGCGTCAACGAGAGCACCGGCCTGAGCCTGGAGCAGGTCAAGAAGCTCAAGGAGAGATGGGGCTCCAACGGTAGGTGCCCGGCGCCGGGGCTGCAGGGGCCCCGCGCGGCTCGGCGCGGGCCCGAGAGCCAGGAAAGATGGCTGACCGGGCTCCACCTCGTGGGTCTCGGCTCCGCGCCCGCCGAAGGCTGCAGGCGACGGGTTGAGCCCGCGCCGGCCCCGCGGGAGAAGGGTTGCAGGCGGGGGGCGCCGGGGTCGGGTCTGCGCCTCTTCTTGACATCCGCGTGGCTCCAGCCCTTGACCTTTTACCGCACGCTGCTAGCTCGGCGGCTCTTCACCAGCAGCAGCTGGCCTCGCGGAGGGAGGGATGAGCCTCCTGCATCTGGGTTGAGCCCTGCGAGACATTTTCTCGTCCCTAGCCGGTTTATGAGGCGTCGCTGTAGTTGAGAATGCCTCTGACCGTTCTCCTACTACCCAAAGTTACACATCTGGCAGAAGTGATGACAGGGCTGAAATGACTCCTTGTTTCAGAAACCGTGCTTAGGTATTGATGAGGTTTCACGTTTCGGAGTAGATCAGTACAACAAGTACTGCATGTTATCTTGGGGCAGCATTTTGATATGGTTTCTATTAAATACGGTTGAATGTTCATATATCTAGGTGCATCTTTCAAAGACAGTGATAATTTAGTAGTTCTTTTTGGAAAGACAAGAGTGCTAAATTTTTTTTCTTTTACACGTTTCGGAGTAGATCAGTATAAGTACTGCATATTTTCTTGGGGTAGCATTTTGATATGGTTTCTATTAAATATGGTTGAATGTTCATATATGTAGGTGCATCTTTCAAAGACTGATAATTTAGTAATTCTTTTTGGAAAGACAGAATGCTAAAATTTTATTTTTTTTTCTTTTCCTTCTCGACACGTTGCCTGATGAATTTCTACAGAGTTACCGGCTGAAGAAGGTAAGTAATCTTAACATGTTTTTTCTCCCCCCCTCTGTATGCTGATCTTAAGATGACATTTACAACAAATATGTTTCTTTCTAACAGGAAAAACCTTGCTGGAACTTGTGATTGAGCAGTTTGAAGACTTACTAGTTAGAATTTTATTGTTGGCAGCATGTATATCTTTTGTAAGTATAAAGAAATTTCTTTACTCTCCCCAAAGTTGAGACTATACCTTAGATGAAAAAGCAGGAAACAGCTGTCTACTGAGTGAGAACATTTTATTTGGAGATTTAAGCTGTGTTTTCATGTTTTTGGTTTTTGGTTTTTTTTTAAATACTCTAGGTATTTGAAAATTATAAATAGAACACGCCATTCGTGTACAGAAAATAAACGAATGCCTGACATTTGCAGTGTACTTAGAAATTGTTGCCAAATGTGGCAAGCAGGGTCTTTATAAATTCTTGTGGTTTATCAGTTTTTAATATAAAAAAGTTCCTTATTGGAAGGCTTTTTCTGTTTGGGTTCTTCCATTGTGTAAGATCATACTAAGATGATGTTGGGCTCTTTGTAGTCTGTAAATAGAACTTACAAAAGGAATATTCCAGTTGCTCTCCCTTCCTGGTAATGGCAAGGTGACAGTTGTTTCTGACAGTGACAAGAATGATGACGGCAGTGATGGCACCACTGTTGACCAAATTTGGTCACTGACCTTTAGGGTAGTATATTTATCTAAATTGGACCCCCGTCTTGAGTGGCTCCTAGGTTGAGAGAACAAGGTTTAGTACAATTGGTTCTAGATCTTAAAAAGAAAAAAAAACACATTGTTTTTTCATGTTCTGTGTGTGCTTACCTGCTTGAGTCCTGTATGGTTGCTAAGAAACTGGTGAAATGCAAAGAACAGCAGAAGAAAGGTGATGGACATTGAAAAGGATAATTCTAGATTCCTACAGTTTTTTTTCCTGTTTAGCATTAATGTTTTATTGCATTTTTTCCCTCATGAGCAATGGACCTCCAAGTTTTCCTAAAAATGGTCATGAGTAGGACACAGATGTTCTTAATCCTAACAAGAGATGCCTTTTGTTCTTTAAAGTACAGTTTTTTATTCTTATAAAAACCAGGATGAGAAATGTGGTAACTTTTCAGGCTTTGCAAACGACACAACTTCAAGGTTTCTTTTTTGTGTGTTTGTAAAAGACGCATGCAAGCCTCAGGGATCTACCTCAGTCTTTATTGACAGCCTTACCCCAGAGGGCTATTTTGAGAACTAAATACATGAAGCAATGAGCATTTGTTTACTTTAGGTAAAGGGAAAAAATTGGCAAGAGGTGAGCTTTTTTGAAATTTCTGACTCAAATTCTGCCGTAAGACTGAAATATATCATGCCATGTTAGCCAAGTGATGTGTAGCCATCAATAATTAATTCCTCACAAATGTCTTCTATGGTTTTCATTGAAGAAAATTAAGAGTATCATAGCAACTTATACGGCTTCTGAGTTAGTCACTATATTGTATATGTGTCTGTCTGTTCTTGGTTAGTTAAAAAAAATTCTCAGTGGCTGTTGCTTTACCAATTCAAAGAAGTAGTGCTGTTTAATTAGTTTCAGTACATTGTCATGGGACAAAACAACTAATGTGTTTGAGCTAGTATAATGCTTATGTTTAAGCTGGCTATGTAATGTTAAAATAGTCTCAAGTTTTGCAGTTTTGATACTGGGCTTCAGTAAAGTCATTGGGAACCTCTTAGAAGTTAATCAGGTGCTGTATACAAGCCAAAGATTAAAAAAAAATTTTATTGAGATATTTTTTGTGTGTGATTTAAGGCAGTGTTGGAACATCAGTTGCATTATTTCCACTAGACAGGCTATTGACTGTTTGGGTTGTATAGAATCTCGAGTGGCCAGTTTTGAGTGACTTTATACTAATACTTTGCATTATGAGGTAGTTTTTACTTTACTTTGTTGTTTTGGCTGTGCCTTAAGTCTTGGAGGAACTTTAGTTCCCCAATCCAGCTATGGTAGTGACAGTGCCGAATCCTAACCTCTGGACCACTAGGAAATTCCCTCAAATGGGTTTTTAAATACATGTTTTAATTTTGTTGTAAGGTAGGATGTTGACTTTTTATAGCTTCACAGTTGAAGTTTGAGTTACCTTTTCGGTAACTACATGGAATTATTGCTTAAGAAATGAACTGTGTTATGTTTTTATTTTATGGGCTGCTAGACAGAAAAAAGTTTGGGCTTCCCAGGTGGCTCAGTGGTAAAGAATCCACCTGCCAAGCAGGAGACCCAGGTTCAGTCCCTGGATTGGGAAGATCCCCTGAGGAAGGAAATGGCAACCCACTCTGGTATTCTTGCCTGGAAAATCCTATGGACAGAGGAGCTTGGTGGGCTACAGTCCATGCGGTTGCGGAGTTGGACATGACTTAGCGACTAAAGAAACAGGAAAGTTTAAATGTTTATTGTTTAGGAAGTGCTGTAATTTTAATTTGCTTTGATTTGTTTGATGAAGACATTGCGGATATAAACCTGTTGATCTTCATGGGGATTGGGACTACTGCTGCATTGTACTTGACCTTTTCGGTCCACATTTCTTTTATCTGTGAAAAGAGCAAGGAATCTTTTGTGAGAATCATTTGATTCATATGCGCTTCCCTGGTGGCTCAGGCAGTGAAGAATCTGAGTTTTTTGATTCCTGTTCATTTATCAGGCAAAACAGTAAAAAGTACATGTTCTTTTGGAGAAGCAAATAGGTTTATAATCAATACATAATGCATTATCAGGTTCTACTCAAGAAGTACTAGGCTTTCGTGACATATTTCAAATATCAAATTAAGTAGTAAACTGTTAACCAAAGTTAATATTTTGCTGATGCAGAAAGTAGGGAACAGCATTAATGTTTTACACTTGTGACCTGTAGGGATAAAGTTTAATTAACTTGTCCCTAGGGTTGGAAGAAGTGAGCTGTGTGTCTTCATTGCATATGAAGTAACATTAGAAATTCCTTGACATTTAATACCTTCCTTTCCTTTCACTTTTTGTTTCTGTCCCCCTTGTCCAGCAACTTTGCCCTTCATGTAACACATCATGATTGCTTAATTGGACTGCCTGTTCGTTTCTCTCTTCACTGCTTTGTTAGGAGTTGAGCATCTTGGGTACATAGCACGAACACTGGGGATACAGCTTGGAAGGAAATGCAGTATCTTACATGGAGCCGACATTCTAATGGAGACAGATAAAAAAGTAAAATATTTAATAATCTGTTGGATTGGATATAGTGCTGTGGAGAAAAAGTGGGTGAGGAGGATGGTGGCGGAATGGGGGACCATGTGGAAAGAGTGCAGTTTTCAAATTGGGAAGTCAGGAGAGAGGCATCTAAGGTGATGGTTACCTGAGGGAAGTGAGCATGAGGACTATTTGTCTCCTTTGTCTGAATTATGTTCTCTGTGGTAACACAATTTGCATAATTTTTTCTATCTTTCATCCAAATTTCCCCATCTCAGCTACTTAGATTGACCCTAAAATGCTAATTAAGCTTTCTTAGTCCAAGACACTTCTCAACTTTTGGTTTATATTTGAATAATTTGTCTTTCCTACTGAAACCTTTGAAGGGATTATTAATTCCTTTTAGAGCCTAGGTTATTGCTTTTGTTAAATACCTGGATGAGTTTGTGTTGGTAGCATTTTCAAAATACATGAAATTCATTTACTTTGCTTTTCTCAATAAGATATATTCAAGAAGTATTTGCTAATGTAGTGATTTGAAATTTTTCCTGTGCTTTAATTATTTGGAAGGATAAAACGGGCAGTTTACTGATTGGTTTAAGTAATTTATTTAGAGCCTGTCTTTAAAAGATGGTTTGAAAAGTGAATGTCTACGGGCTTTTTATTTTATTTTAAAAAAGATTGTATTCTCAAATCTGGAAATATTGAGTGTTTCCACTTGAACTTTGTATCTGGATTGGTAGAGACTATATAGTCTAATTCATACCATTCTTTTTGAAGAAATCATTTATTTTGAGTGTATTGTCATTGCTCTTCAGGGACTGGGGGTGGGGAGCTTTCTCTAGTTGCGGTGAGCAGCGTTACTCTCTAGTAAGCGCTTCTCACTGCAGTGATTTCTCCGTTGCGGCTCCCAGGCTCTAGAGCGCAGACTTAGTTGCTCTGTGGCATGTGGAATCTTCCCGGATCAGGATTCAAACCTGTGTCTCCTGCATTAGCAGGCTGGTTCTTCACCACTGAGCCACCAGGGAAGCCCCCATACTATTCTTATAATAGCTGATTTTTCTCTCCCCAGAGAGTTGTTGTAACACTTATCGGTGATACTTTCTTGTGAAGTGTTTAGTTTCTGTTTTTTCTTTCTAAAATTTTTGATACAGATTTTTCCTTCATCTAACAAGTGTTTGAGTGCTCAAATGCATTGCAGATTTCTGAGGAGACAAGAAGAATGCAGACCTGGTACATGTTTTAGGACCCTCAGTCCTAAGAATGTGCTTATCTCTCGTTTTCTTTTAACAGTCATGTTAAGAGCTCTACATATTACTCTGACGTGTAGATAATTGAGTCACACAGTACCATGACCTAGTTTATATCAGAACATGTCTTTTTAACTTGGATTAAATTTTGCTTAATTAAATCCTGCTCTCTGACATTTTTGGCTCTACCATCAGAAGTTACTGCTGCGATCAGCCTTACAGATAGCACAGAGAAGGTATGCTACCCTATCTAAAGTTAACCTCGCTAGGGAATTTCCCTGGTAGTTTAGCACTTTAGGGCTTCCCTCGTGGCTCAGAGGGTAGAGTCTGCCTGCAGTGCAGGATATCCGGATTCAAACCCTGGGTGAGGAAGATTTCCTAGAGAAGGTAATGGCAACCCACTGCAGTATTCTTGCCTGGAGAATTCCATGGACAGAGGAGTCTGACAGGCTGCAGTCCATGGGGTCGCAAAGAGTCGGACACAGCTAAGAGGCTAAGCACACAAAACGCAACCAGTGCGCTCACTGCTAGGGCCTGGTTCGATTCCTGGTCAGGGAACTAAATAAATAAAGTGACCTAGCAAGTGATTACTTTGAATGGGATTGACAAGTTTGAAACTTTTGATCCTGTTGGATATGGATAAGGTAAGCCCCAGAAGTACTTTTACTGTATTAATAGTGAAAAGCAGGGAAAGAAGAAACACTGCCTAAAATGATTCTACAGCAGTCTTTCCAGTTCCTTTTGATACTGTTGATGAGTTAGTTACCTTCTTGCTCTGTGTTTAGTTCATATACTGCTAGGTAGGGACTTGTGTGAGATTTGTTTATTTATGAATCTGTATGCAATAAATATATGGTGAGCATCGCCTATATGCCTGAGACTCTTCTAGGACCCTGCGGATAGAACAGTGAACAAAAGGAAATACAAACAGATAATGCTTTATATTCAACCTGTTCTCAATAAAGATTTTTTAGAAACATTTCCCCTCCCTGCCTCTGTATATTTTGTGTAATTTCTGGTGAACCGTAATTATGAACTGACTGTAATGCTAAAAAGACATAATAATGTGTCACGTGTCATCCAGTTTCCCTCTCCTTTTCACTACCCCTTCCCAAACTCATGAAGTCTTTGATTTCTCAGCAGCATCTTCCCATTTACACAAGAGAGATTTTTTTTTTTCAATTAAACAAAACCATGAAGGACTACACAGTGTGGTTTGAACATGATCGACTGTATTGATTCTTAGGAGTAAATGAAATATGGTTCATCTTTATTTTAAGTTATAGCACTTAATTCTTTGGGTTGTGGGTTTCAGAATATTCTTTGAAGTGTTTAGCAAATTGGTAGTTGTGAACGTTAAATAGGTCCAGCACTATCCTTCCACATTTTGCCCTCTAGTTTTGCCCACTAGTTTCTTATCAGGCAATAATCACACATTGGACAGAACCTTCAAATAACCGAATGCCTGTGTTTCTTCCGCATAAACGTTTAAAGTCACATAGTGGAAGAAAAGGCTACTGCATAATACAGATGAGGGCTGTTGCATTACTGATGAATACCACTTGTGCAAGGGAACCACACATTTCTTGAAAAGTAGAAGCTGCTTGCTTGCCTGAGTGTTTGCCTTGCCTCCTTTGCTCCAGTGGATATGGAATATTGCTTTAAGTTTGTTCCTCAGGCCTAGCTGCCAAGAGGGAAATTCATACTCACTTTAACAAGGTGTGAAGCTTATCTTACAGTTGCTAATGCTTCACTGACCTTTTGGAAAGGTCCTTGCTACTTCAAGTTGAGCCATTTTTCTCCCCCAAGAGCTAATTAAGTTTCTTATTTCTGATATGCTCTCCTTGGCAAATGTTTGAAAGGCTAGTATCAAAGCAGCTGTGATCTTGCATCTATCAAAATTTATAACTTCCTAGAGAAGTTTTCATTTTGGCATTAGGCCTGGCCTTAACACCAGGAATGCCCTGTCGAAAGCTTGTAGCAACAATTTCTATTCATTCTGGTGTTTTTGCCTGCCCTGGTTCATTAGCTGTCAGTTGTGATTGGCATCTTTCAGGACCTTGTCCTTGTGTCTCCTGGATTTTTTTCCTGCTCAAATTGCTGTTTCTTTTGTTGGTGCTATGGTGGTGAGAATACCTAACAAATTGATATTTGTTGTTAATTCATTGTTGCCCTCTTTTAACTTGGAAAATTCATGTTGGATCTTGCCTTAATCATCTTTCTGCTTGTTTGCTGTTTCTGTCAAAGCTCATCTTATGGTGTTCACTAGGTACAAACTTAGTCACTAGCTTCATTATTGTCATAAATCATATCTGACAATATTCAATGGATCAAAAACAGTGCTTTCCTTGTTTACTGAATAGATCTTTTAAAGAAAAGATTTCATTGTGGAATATGCAAACATTTTAAGTAGTGTTAAAAGGCAAAGGCAAATCTTACCTCCCAGATTGAATCATGAGATGTGTTTAACATCCTTTTGGATTGGCAGTTTTCCACAAAAATTTGTTGTTGAAAATTTAACCATTTAGATTCCTCTTTTTATTTATCATTGTGTTGGATTCTCTCTTATTACAGATGTTCAGTTATGAAGTGCAGTGTGTCTTTCTTTTAGCTTTTAAACCTGAGAGTTATGGTTGGGTGAGCTAGAGGTTAATTCTTGCTCACTTTTCTTGGGACAGTGTTCTGTGGCCAGTTATGACACTTTTGGGTTTAGATTGTCTCTGAAGTGCTATGTTGCTATACTAGATGTCATATGGAGGTTAACCTTTAGAATACATTCCTGATCTCAGAACAACCTTGCAGTGATGACCTTCAGTAGCACCACTGAAAATATGTGGGACATTAGCAGTTTATGTACACTAATATTAAAGTGAGTGGTTAAATTACTTTTACTATGAATTTGTGCCACATAGGTATTATCTCATATGAGTATTAACCAAATTAACAAAGTTTGATGTTTGCCTTTTAAATTTAGGAATTTATTTCTTCTGAAAAATATACATAGGAAATGGATGGGATTTAGTTCTCCAAAGTATTTGTTTTGGATTTTAAACCAATTATTACATGAAAAATAGATTAGTTCTTAAGGATATTGTTAAGAAGTTTATAGTTTTGAGTGTTAAGAGTTAGAACAAGATATAAGCTTGTCATTTATGTCATTACATTTTGCTACCTTTTGTTTCTAAGGATGATAAGAAAAGATTTTATGTATCGTAATAGTGCCAGCCACTTTTGTGGTAAGAACACATTACAGTTCTAATAAATGTCATTTCTCTTTTAGGTTTTGGCTTGGTTTGAAGAAGGTGAAGAAACAATTACAGCTTTTGTAGAACCTTTTGTAATTTTACTTATATTAGTAGCCAATGCAATTGTGGGTGTATGGCAGGTAAGCAATAATTCCTGCAGTGCTAAATTTTGGTAATTTATGTAAGAGATTTAAACTGTTCATCTGTCTATTATGTTTTTTCTGCTGTGGAACTGCCTGTGTTTTTTATCTATTAATTTATTTAATGGCAAAATTTTAGACCTCATGCATATATACTCTGCTGTTAAAATTGCTCATTCTCCATGGTAGCATGGAATCAAGAAAAGTGGTTAAAGAAGCTACTTAAGGAAAACCAGAAAATTTGAGAACCAGTATCTGTTTATATTTCCTAGTTGCTTCCTATGAAAGACTTCGTAAAACCAGTGTCATTTTTATTATCCTTGGATTTGTGTGTGGATTTAGCTATAAAAGTTATTTGAATCCTAAATAATTGCACTTTCAGAGCATATTCCTGGCTGTTTTCCCTTAATTGTCCAGTGCCCAGGCCTTATCCCCAGAATGGAAGATAATTTTCCTGCAGAAACATCATGGGATCACACTTTTGCTTCACGTCTGCATGATACGTCTCCTGCTAATAGCTAGTTTGAGAATTTTAACTTTTCTAGGACTGTGGGTCTGTTTGATTTTTGTTTTCTGTATAGTTTAACAGATTCAGGCTAATATTTCACAGTCATCTTTTGAATATTAATCTGTTAGATTTTTGACGGATATAGTCGCCTCTTTGAGGACTAAAATAGAGTGCATCTGTCATTTGTGCAAACATCTTCTACACATACTTAGTCCTGTTGAAATTGTAAACTTATTAGTAAACATGAAGGCCTTTGGGTAATGAGCTCATTTAGAAAGATGCCTCCTTAGAAGAAATGTGCCATATTCCTCTTGATTTTTAAAAAAATTGCTTGTAGTTAAGTAGATATGATACTTCTGTGCATTATTTAGGCAAAAGAAACAATACAGAGCATTAGACTGTCCTTAAGTTAGTAGTGTGTGGTGTTTTTTTTGTTTTGTTTTTAGTAGTGCGTGTTTTTAAATGTACACCATTTACACAGTAGGTGTGAAAGTTGATCAGTTGTGTCTGACTCTTTGAGACCCTATACAGTCATGGAATTCTCCAGACCAGAATATTGGAGTGGGTAGCCGTTTGCTTCTCCAGGAGATCTTCCCAACCCAGGGATCGAACCCAGATCTCCCACATTGCAGGCGATTCTTTACCAGCTGAGCCACCAGGGAAGCCCAAGAATACTGTAGTGGGTAGCCTATCCCTTCTCCAGCAGATCTTCCCAGCCCAGGAATTGAACTAGGGGTCTCCCGCCTTGCAGGTAGATTCTTTACCAGCTGAGCACAAGAGTGATTTTATACACAGATACCCTTTGACAGATGTGACACGGAAGTTCAGAGGGATTGACTTATCAAAGGCCATATAGGTAGTACATACGTAGAGTATCTGAGATTTATATCCAGGGCAAGACTGGATAGAAGTAAAATAAAATCTTCCAGCAGTTTTTACAGGACTTTTATGTATGTTTTAACTTGGAAGAGTAACATTGTTACATCTTAATCCTATTTACATAATATACAGAAGAGTATGTGCCAGTACTGTAGGGTTCTTGCTTTCTATAAGTAAGGGGAGTTAACAGTGTAAGGTAGTATTTGGGAGGGGTCAGGCATGTATTTCTGATTAGTGTCATCAAGGACAGGTGACAAGCAATTGGGGGAACTATAGAGAAATGGAGTTTTCTGGGTGGAGGGTGGGGAGAATATTCCAGAGAGGGAATGGCATGATCAGAGAAGTACAGAGTATGTTTGAGGAATGACATTTAGACCTATTTGGATTTGAGTGGAGTAGGTAGGAGTTAAAACTTTTAGAACAAAGGAGACCTCAGACGGTCTTCTAAGTTTTTGTTTGTAGTAAGTTAGGTATATTTGTCTTTCCCCAAGCTGACTTGTTTTTTGATGTAATCTGAATCCATGGTCATTTGCTTCTCTTTTCCATCCTCTGTACTATATAAATATTCCTTTTGATAGTTTGGGTTGGTGGCCGGCAGGGGAGGCTCTTTAAGTGATTTTAATTGGCATCTTCATCCTGGGGGTCTGAGATAGTTTATCTTTTAAGTTTATGCTTCTAATTTAAATGTGCCTTTGCTGATTTTTAATAGAAGCAAAATACAGTGTTCCTGGACATTTTAACCTTGATCAGTCCAGTTAAACTTTACCTGACATGACCTTGAGGAAGGAGAAAATAGTAAAACTGCCATAATTCATACATTCAGGGGGGAAAATCCTGAGGAAAAAATGATTTCAAATTTGACTAATTGAATAGCAGCAGTGCTCAGAATTTATTATTTCTACAATATCAGTAATGCTTGAACTTAGCCTTAAGTAGATCTGATAGAGATTTAAATTATTTTTGTCATGAACTTCCCAAATTTAAGGTTTCCTATACTTTTTCAGGGATGCACATGTAAAAAGTGAGACACACATGCCAATAGCTTTGTTTTCTGTCATCTGAATTCTCTTTTTAAGCAGGTTTGGGGATTTAATTTTTACCACAAGGCAAAAAATGAGAATACATGGTATTGAGTGTAAATTTTATTTAAGTAAAGGTTAAATTGAAAATGTTTAGATTAGAGGGCAAAAATGTGAAAGAAATGAACAAATTTTTTCCTTTGTCTGTTGAATTGAGTAACCTCACTTGGGCACTTGCTTTGTAGACTTGCTCCTTCTAATTGCTTATTTTCTAAGAGAATAAAAGGCAAATTTGGCATATAAACTTCTGCCTCCCCTTAAAGGAACTTTCCGTTAGCATTTTTTCAACATGACTCATTTTAATTGTACATCTTTCATGTTGAAATTAGGGAAGAAAAATTGTGTGTGACCAAGTCTTGACATGTTCATATATAATATTATGGTGAGTATGGTTTGTGACTGGCAGTGCTTCCAGCCATTTATTGGTCTCTGCCACTGAAGAGAGATTTAGAATTTGTGAGGAGACGTAAAACTTGGTTTTCTTAATTCATCACTCAAAGCATTTACTGTGTGCCAAAGCACAACCTAAGCATTTTATAGATAGCTTGTAAATTCTCACACCCGTTGAGAGTGGGTGGGTACTGTTAGTGTCCTGGTTTTGTAGGCAGTAAACCTTGTCTGTCATGTCACTTACCCACAGTCAACATAGCTTTTGAGTGGAAGAGCCTGGGATGAGCCTGGGCAGTCCAGACCCAGACCATTAGCTTTCATGGGAGACAGGATTGATTTAATGGTATGAGTGAGTGAGGTTAAAGGTGAGAGCCATGTTGCATGGTGTGCTTAGGGACAGCAGGTTCTAATAATTGCTTTTCTCCATTGATTTTATCCTTACTCTTAGGGTGCTTAGTTTTTTCATTTTTAATACAAAATCAAAAGGGCCTAGTGTTTATTATCTTAAGATGTGAATCATTTACTGTAAATGTTATTAATGTGCATCTCTTGTGGGGTTTGTTTTTTTTTTTATAATTCACATTTAGGTTAGAACTCTAAAATTTGATTCCTAGGGCTAGAAACATTTAGCAGTGGCAGGCTGTGTTTACTAATTTGTTTTCTTTTTTACAGGAAAGAAATGCTGAAAATGCAATTGAAGCCCTTAAAGAATATGAGCCTGAAATGGGCAAAGTGTATCGACAGGATAGGAAGAGTGTACAGCGGATTAAAGCTAAAGACATAGTTCCTGGTGATATTGTAGAAATTGCTGGTGAGTTGAGTTTGGTCATTTTTTATTTTAAGGTTGTATATTTGAATGCAGTCCTTTCCTCAGGGTTCATACTTAGAAGTTTTAGAAGTTAGGCTCATGTGTATCGATTATATTAACAGATTTTTAGTGCTAGCCAAACAAATTAGGGTTTTTTCTAAAAGTTCAACGTGTTTTGGGACCTCCCTTCATGTTGAGAAGATTTTTCTGTTTTAAAAAAAACAAAGGTGTTTTGGATTACTGTGCTTGTTATTTTCAGTACATTTTAGAAATCTAGTGCTAGTGAGATGAACTTAATCTTGATTTGACAGTTGTAGTGAGCAGTTTGTTAGAATACTAGTTAATGAGTACATGGTTTTTCCTGTTTTGGTTCTAGGCACAAATAATAAGTCAGACTTGCAACTATCAAACCAAACTGATGGTTAAGGGTAATTTCATGACTTTAAAAGCTCTACTTAAAAATATTTTGACATGGCACTGAGCCAGGGATGTTAGCCAGAGATTCGGGTTTGGGCTTTTTAAAGAGTGAATCCTCTGCCATGCCAGAGCTCTTCACAGATCTCAGAGGTCCTCCTTGCTGTAGGTCAGTGCCAAGTTTTCAGACAGCCCAGAATGCCCCTGGAGCCAGTCAGAACAGCTAATCTTTTTGCAGAGGAATCATTACATTGGGTTCTTCAAATCATTGTGGTTTTTCACACCCTCTGAGCTCAGCATGCTTGTTTTCTCTTTGTGAGTGGTCTTAGGGTAACACTTTCACATTGGCTTGTGGGGAAGCGTGCTTGTCTCTGTTGTCTTACTCTCCTGAGAGTTCGGAGTGCTGCATCTCTTGGCTTGTGCTGTACAAAATTTGACTTTTGAAAGTAAATTACTGGGACTTCCAGTGGTTAGGACTCCGCACTCTTCAATACAGGGGTTGGGGAACTACGATCCTGCATGCTGCTTGGTGTGGCTAACAACAAAAACCCGCTACCTTGTCATAGGTCTTCCAGAAAAAGAATAGTGTTGTCTGTCTACCCATAGGTTGATTACTTAGGACTGCAGAGTTTGTGTAAATGACCTAACACTTGCTAGGTTGTTAATGTTAACAGAAGTACAACTCTGAATGAAATATTTTGGCCAGTGGATTTTTTTAAACTTAGTTTTGACATAATTTCAGACTTAAAAGTTGCAAGACTAGTAAGAGTTCCCATTTAGCTTTTACCCAGATTCTGAAAATGTTTGTTATCACGATAACTTGCATTATCCTCTTTAGCCTATATACGTTCACACATTTTTGCTGAATTATTCCAGAGTAAATTGAGAAATGATGCCTCTTTGCTCCTAAATACTTAGTATTTATTTTATAAATCTATAGACCTTAGTCAGATTTAACCATTTGTCACCATGGATTTTACAGCAAAACACGAGTTAGAAGGGGAGTTCTGGTGCTGATGTGGGAAATAGATCACAGTGGGAAGGCTGGAGATAGGCAGGAGCTAATGAGAGCAAGTGATATCAAGGGCTATAGCATTAAGAATAATGAGGGAAGGATTTTGAGTTTATGAGTAGCAGTTTTTAAGCAGGGATACACATCAGAATTATCTGTGGACACTGAAAGTTTTCACCAGGTCTCAACCCAAAATACTAATTTGGAATCTCTCTTGGCCATGGAATTATGGTCATATATAGTTTGAAAAGTGAGCCTCAGATTTAGGTGGTAAGCAACAGGTTTTGATAACTGGATAGATTTGGGGGTGGATGGGAGTAGGGTGTGCAATCAAAGATACTGACAGGATATCTAGTTTAGGTGACTGGGTGGTGCTGGTGCCTAGTAACTGAGGAAGGAAACGCTGGAGGAAGATAGTTGTCTTTCCACAGTTTTGTCATGTGGTAGGTGTACCTAAAGATCGCCTAAGTATTGCACAAGATTCTGTTTGACTTTGTATATTTTCCAGTTCTCCACCTTAGTCTGGGAATACATTTTCAGCCTCTCAAACTAAGATAAGAGTTTTTATCCTAGATAGACTATTTCAGTGTGTTCAATATATTTGAAAACTTAGAGAAATTACCCCCAAAGCGTTTATCCTTGGTTTGCATCAGTAGATGGCAGTGGTTTACAGCATCAGATACACCATATCCTCAAGGCATCATCATCCCTTTTGAAGAAATAAACTAAGACCAGCTTCTCTTCGATGGAAGTGGGTTTGTTTTTTTTTTTTAATTGAAGGATAACTGCTATACAGAATTTTGTTGTTTTCTGTCAAACCTCGACATGAATCGGCCATGCGTGTGCATATATATCCCCTCCCTTTTGAACCTCCCTGCCGTCTCCCTCTCTGTCCCACCCCTCTAGGTTGATACAGAGCCCCTGTTTGAGTTTCCTGAGCCTACAGCAAATTCCCATTGGCTGTCTATTTTACATATGGTAATGTCAGTCTCCTTGTTACTCTTTCCATATATCTAACCCTCTCCTGCCCTCTCCCCACGTCCTTATAGACTTATGTCTATTCTGTTTCTTTCTATTTCTTTTTCTCTGAATTTGGGGTCTCACCAATCTTTCCCATCTGAGTAAGTCACCCTAACCACAGAGTTAACTGAGAAACTTGGTTATCGTTTTATTCTTCCTCTCTTATTCTGTCTCTAAGACCAGTTGATGCTGTCTCCAAAACACACCCAAATTTGCTATTTTTTCCTAAGTCACCACACCAGTCACACCATCACCTCACATTGACATCATCAGTTCAGTTGCTCAGTCGTGTCCGACTCTTTGCGACCCCATGAACTGCAGCATGCCAGGCCTCCCTATCCATCACCAACTTCTGGAGTCTACCCAAACCCATGTCCATTGAGTCAGTGATGCCATCCAACCGTCTCATCCTTTTGTCGTCCCCTTCTCCTCTGCCCTCAATCTTTCCCAGCATCAGGGTCTTTTCAGATGAGTCAACTCTTTGCATCAGGTGACCAAAGTATTGGAGTTTCAGCTTAACATCAGTCCTTCCAATGAACAGCCAGGACTGATCTCCTTTAGGATGGACTGGTTGGATCTTCTTGCAGTCCAAGGGACTCTCAATAGTCTTCTCCAACACCACGGTTCAAAAGCATCAATTCTTTGGCACTCAGCTTTCTTTATAGTCCAACTCTCACATCCATACATGACCACTGGAAAAACCATAGCCTTGACTAGATGGACATCATCGTGTCGTATCCTAACTGGGCTCTGGCTTCCTTTATTGTCTTCTTGCAGTTCGTTCTCTACACAGAAGCTAGACTTCCCTAAAGGTTATATTAATTCACTGGCTACAGCCTTTCAGTGCCTTCTCTCGCATCAGAAATACAATTTCTGTTCTCTTTAACGCTGAATGACCTTGCATTGTATAGCTCTTATTTCTGTGATTTCGTCTTATGCCACTCCCTGTGCTCTAGTCAAACAGGACTTGTTAACGTTTTCACAACCACCAAGCTTACCTGGCCTTTTTTGGGTAGTTAAGCAAATTTTGTATAATTTATTGATTTTTCCCAACGCACAAATCTCACTGTGGCAAAACTTTGGTTATAACCTCTGTCTACCTGATTTTCGCCACTGTGAAATTCCATTCCCTATAATGTAGCGTTTTATATAGTGCATTTGATAGTTTAGGAAGGACAGATGACTTATCCACAGTGTGTGTGTGACATAGGAGTGGTCCCTTTCTTATTTTGTTTATATTGTGATAAAACATACATATTATAAAGTTTACCATTTTAACCGTTTTGAAGTATACGGTTCTGTGGCATTAGGTACATTCACGTTGTACAGCCATCACTACTATTCATCTCCAGAACTCTTCTGTCTTCCCAGACTGAAATGTAACAATAATTTCTCTCTACCTCCCTTCTCTAGGTCCTGGTAACCACTGCCTTTCTTTTAATATTAAAAACCACTGCCTTTCTTTTAATATTAAAAAAAAATTTTTTTTTAAGATGAGTTTAAATCCTTCATCTTAGGTGAATATATTTATTACTAATAGAATTGTTCTAAGCAGTACACATACTTAAACCCAATTCTGCTTTCACCTATTTCTAATTCCTTTGTGAGGAGTCTTAACAGGTCTTGAGAGTTAGCAATTTTTTCCTCCACCTCTTCCCCTACTATATACTAATTGCTAAAAACATACACAGTGCTGGGATGTTGGGCTCTTGTATACTACCCTTTCTTGAATTTTGACCATTCCAAAGGATGCTAAACAGAGGTGATCAAAGGTTTTAGACAGATAGTGAACATTTTGTTAAACACTACTGTCATACTGCTAGGCAACATGCACTTTAAGGGCAGAACTGTCACACTCATCATTGTAATCTTGCTGAGCATGTAAAAAGCTCTCCATAATAAATAAACCTGAAGTCTGAAGTGTGGAGTAGGTTTGGCAATGTAAATCTGCTTTTTGTGCAGCTTCTGTGCAGAACAGATAATTTGACGTCTCTGTGCTTGAGTTTAGTAATAGCTGAGCTTAACGTGTGTGCCAGATACAGTGATAAATTTCCTAGTGTTTGGTTTTTAATCATCAGCCACCTATGGGTGTGTGTACTGTTAGTCACATTTTGAAACTAACAGTTGAAACCAAGTCTTTGTGGTTTATTGCTTCTGTCTTCAGCTACGATTACTTTACTAGAGAATATACAGTATATTTAGTAAATGTATACGTATTTCACACATTAATTTGTTGGCGGTCCAGTTCACAATTTTTTAAAAACAGCTTTATTGAGATACAATTCACATGCCATAACATTTCACTCCTTTAAAGTGTAATTAAGTGGTTTTTGAATTAAGTGTAATGTCTTTATCACTATATAATTTCAGAACATCTTCCCCCCCAAAAGAAATCCTATACCCATTAACAGTCACTTCCTCTGCCTGCTTTTCCCCAGTCCCTGGCAACCACAGTTTACTTTGCTTTTTAGGGATTTGCTTATTCTGGATATTGCATATAAATGGAATCATACAAGAAATGTGCTTTTGAGACTGATTTCCTTCTCTTAATATTGTT